CCTTCCACAAACAGAGGCCAGGGACACCATTTCTACCCCCTGGCTAATAGCACTCCATGGACCCAACCTCCATGACTTTATCTCACTTCTCTTTAAACTCTGTTCTAGTTCTAGCCTTTACAGCCTCCTGCAGCAAGGAGTTCCACAGGTTGACTATTTGCTTTGTGAAGAACAACTTTCTGTTGTTAGTTTGAAGCCTGCTACCCATTCATTTCATTTGGTGTCCTCTAGTCCTTCTATTATGGGAACTAATGAAGAACTTTTCTTTATGCACCCTCTCCACACCACTCATGTTTTTATAGACCTCTAACATATCCCACCTCAGTCTCCTCTTTTCTAAGCTGAAAAGTCCCAGCCTCTTTAGCCGCTCTTCATATGGGACCTGTTCCAAACCCCTGATCATTTTAGTTGCCCTCCCCTCTCCCACCCTCTCTCTTCCCCTCTCCCACCTCCTTTTCTCAGTCTCCCCCAGTTTTGTTCAATAAAGAGAGTTTCTTTTTTTGAACACACGTGTCCTTTATTTTGTACATCAGGAAGGGAGGCTAGGGAGGGATAAGTGGAAGGAGGTGAGGGAGGAATGGGGTACGAGCCCCCGATGGGGAGGACTGGGCTGGCTCTGCGGGCTCCTCGGGGTAGAAGCTCTCCTGAAGTCCCTTGATTGACCCCCCCACCTCCAGATGGCAGCCTGCGGCAAGTGCAGCTGGGTTGATGGCCGAGTGCTGTGATGTGCCGAATGTGGGCACTCAGGGTACTCCAAGCCAGCCCTGCTTTGCAAGCGGGGAACCCCTGAGAACTGTCTGTCCAGGGTGGGGGTTGGGATCCTTTAAGCACAGCTCTCGGCTAGCCTGAGACAGCAGCTCCATGCTCTAAGTCCTAATCTGATGCCCTGCCGGCACTGCTTCCGGCCATCCTTAACCTCAGTTCAGGGTCCACTCAGTTTGGACATGCTAGTTCGAATTAGTTCTAATTTAGTTTGAATTAGTGCTGTAGTGTAGACATACCCAGATTTACCCGGTGTTGCTTGGGTCCTTATTTTAAACAAGTTTTGTTTTTCTTCATTTATATCATTGTTCTGAAGTGGAACTGGGGATGAGGGGTTCAATAGGCAGGCTGTCCTAGGGAGAGAGGACAACCACCACACCACAGAAGCTTGGGGCCAGGTGAGAAGCACCCGACCATGGCAGCTACAGCAGGCCAAGGGAGAGGTGCCTATCCCCCTAACTAGATGACAATCTGACACAGACAAACTCTCTGAAATATATAGTAGATAGCTGTCCCTTTCCCCACCGCTGCCAGTCCAATGCTGTCCTGGTCCACATCTCTGGTCCCTTGCTGCCCCCTATGGTCATTGTGCAGAATAACTGTCCCACAAACAGACACACACACAAAGAAAAGTTACACATTAATAGCTAGAAAGGTTTTGGCTTAATTTCAAATATCTTCTCCCTCATATCTCTCTATATATTCAAGACTGTTTTTCCTTCAGGGCTCCCCCCCCCTGCCACTCCAGCCTCAACAAAGTCCCCAGAAGGGGAAGAGATGGCCATAGCTCAGGGTTCTCTTCCTCCTCCCCCCCGGGAGGTGTCTTGGGCTCCCTGCTGGCCCTCCACTCCCATGAAGGAGGGCTGGGGATGGCAGCAGTGGCTCCGCACTGTGCTGGGGACCCTGATGCTCCAGGACCCAGCGGGGAACCTTTGCCTCTGACTGCTTGGGCCCCATGCGTTGGGGCTGCCGCATGCCTGGAGCTCCCGCCTGGAACCCTTCCCCCGCCTCACAAGCCAGTGCTGGCTTCCTGTGGAGAGAGGAGAAAACCCGGAGGCTCCGCCAGAGGCGGAGGTGGCTTGTGGAGGAGAGCACATGCTGCTGTGGAGGAAGGTGGGGGCTCCCAGCCCTGATGCCCCTCCCCGGCAGCTGAGTCTGGCATAGCCGCTGGCCCTCCCCTCCCTAGCGGCCGGGGGGTCCCCCAAGAGGCTGGGGCTGAAGTGGCCCTGGTCACCAGGGGGAGAGCTGGGCTTGCTTATTTCCAAAGACAGGGGGCTTGGTGAGCATAGTGAGCAGGGGACACTACCCCTAGTATTATAAAATAATATTTATATTCAAAGTTAAACTCCTGTGCCCTACTGATTGATATTAAGTAAATTGATTTGTGGTGATTTTGCTTTATTATATGAAAAAAGGCAGTCTGAAAGCTGTTTCTGTTTTGGGAATGCCATGTCTGGTGATCTTTGTTTTTACTGAAGAATTTTAACAGATTTAGATGTGGGCTAAGAATTCTTTCAGCCTTTAATTAAAAAAGAAGCCAACAGTGTTGACTTGCTTATAAAAACCATTGACTCCCAAGTGTTTCTTGAGTTAAACAGGCAGGCTACATCTAGACTGGCATGATTTTTCGCAAATGCTTTTAATGGAAAAGTTTTTCCGTTAAAAGCATTTGTGGAAAAGAGCGTCTAGATTGGCATGGACACTTTTCTGCAAAAGCACTTTTTGCGGAAAAGCGTCCGTGCCAATATAGACGCGGTTTTGCGCAAGAAATCTCCGATTGCCATTTTCGCAATCGGGGCTTTTTTGCGCAAAACAATACCCCGTTGTCTACACTGGCACTCTTGCGCAAAAGCATTTGCACAAGAAGGCTTTTGCCCGAACGGGAGCAGCATAGTATTTCCGCAAGAACACTGACAATCTTACATGAGATCGTCAGTGTTCTTGTGGAAATTCAAGTGGCCAGTGTAGACAGCTGGTAAGTTTTTCCAAAAAAGCAGCTGCTTTTGCGGAAAAACTTGCCAGTCTAGACGCAGCCGCAATGTTAAAAGAAAGCTTTAGAAAAGCCTGAATAAAAATCTCTTCTAACAGTCAGGCTTCACTTTCTGGATCATGACATCAGAAAATTCACCCCTAGTCACCTATAATCTTCAAAGAGGAAGAAAAGGAAAGATTAAAAATGTCTGAAAAAGCTTCTCGATTTCCTCATACATCAAATAAAATCGGCCACAAACACATTTTGTGACCTTTTTGTATTCAACCTTAAAAACTCTTCCATGTTTTCAGTGATCTTCCCGAGGCACTGTTTGCTTCATCAACCTCACTCATGCTCTAAAACATATCCACAGCTTTACTTCTCCTTTTCTGAGGAAGTCTGCTAGTCACATGCAAGTGTGCATGAATTTACCCATTTAGCAAAATATTAACACTTTAGGACAGATGTTGAATTAACATATTACTGCAGCAGCCTCCCCTACACATCTGGTCCTTAAGTCTTCATGTACTAAAAACAATTTTAAATTTTAAGTCTACCCTCTCCTA